TCTGTCTCCCCAGGCAATCCTTCACAGGCAGGTTGGTGTATCCCCAGAACCCATACAGATTTCCTCTTGTCTTTCTGTTCATCAAGAAAGCCTAATCCACTCCTGAGTACACAGTGGAGATGGGCTGCTTTAGTACAAATAGTCTGTGCAACAGTGCATCTAGCAGAATGTAAGATCCTTGAGGGCAAGAATGATTTCAGGTTGGTGTATCCCCAGAACCCATACAATGCCAAGGCACACTGTAAACACTTAATCAATGTTTGTTGACTGACTGATCCACTCATTCATTCAGTCGGGCACCTACCAAGTGGAAGATACCATGCTAAGAGCTAGAAATTCAAAAACAAAAATAAAGTCCCTGTCCTCAAGGGGCTTATATTCTATTGGGAAAATGTAATATGTGGACATAAAGGCAGAGTACTTTCAATAGGGAGAGAACGCCAACAGCTGGTGAGATCAGAAAAGACCTTGTGTAGGAAGGGACAACCTGAGCTGTGTTTTGAAGGAAGCTTAGGATGCATCAGTTCCCTCCCTTTTGCTCTTGCTATGTGCGTGAACATTGGTTTCCTAACACCAGAATGCCTCATGCTGGAGGTTTCTCAGTAGAAGTATCTATAGCAACACGTATCTGCTGGTATCTGTTATTTGTCACAACAGAGTCATAAGGCTTGCTGGTGGAATCGATTCCCAGCCAAAGCATGAGGAAGGCAGGTTCAAAGGGAGTAAAATGAGCTTAATTAAACCAGTAGGCTTGCCTTGAGCAAATAAGCCAAAAGAAAGTTGGAAGTCCCGACCCCCATATTTCCATCTTTTTTGTAAGAAGACTTGCAGGCAGTTTTCATTTAAGCAGCCAGCTGATCAGCAAATATTTCATGAATATACCTACTATGGTCAAGGCTTTATGCTGGGTGCTATGGATGATACAAAGCTATATAGGATGGACATCCTCACTTCTGCCCCAGAGCACAAAGCTTGCAGTCTGGTTAGACAGACCAGCACTGAAACATACCTAAAAGCACACAGGAGACAGACATGAACATCAGAGGATCCATTTCAGTAAAGGCTGCATATGCTGAGCCAATAAGTAGCACAAACTACAGTAAGTGCCTGAGGGTTTCAGAGGAAAATGTGAGTATTGCCTGGAACAGCTGGTGAAAGCTTGCTGGAAGAGGTGGGACTGGAGAATTTACAACAAATTTTTCTTTTAAATATAAAGGAATAGAGTCACGTCTGTTTTCTGTGCTAATGGAAAGGAAAGGGGAAACTAACGATTCAGAAAATCTTTATGTCTGCCTTTTGTAGTTATAGAAATAAGCATGCCCTGGCTGGTCTCCCTTCCACCTGTGATGATGAAATCTGTCAGGGTGGATGGAAAGGGTAGGAGAACCCCTCCACCTCCCCTGCCACTCCCCACCTCCCCACCTGCCCTCCCCCCATCCCTGACTCTTTCTTTTCTGTGCGTCAGTCCCTCCACTGGAAAATGAACATATTGAGGAAACTAGGGTAAAGATACTTAAAAGTACTTCTAAAGCCTTGGTTTAGGAATACTAGGTTCAAGTATAGGAAGAGACTACTGCACTATACATGGAGTCCATCTGACTCTGAGGGTGAGATCCTCTACAAAGATTGCCAGGCAAATCTTCATGATGCCAGCTTACTAAGGCACAGTTCTCAACTGTGAGAGGTCACTGCTGCTCCCTCCTCCCCTACTGAGAAACATCGGTTTCCCCATAGGATCCCGAGCAAATGCTCTCTTGGAGCATGATAGAGAAGAAGGACTCTGTATTCAGAATCAGATCACCTAAGCTTGTCACTTGCTATCTGTGTTACCTTGGGCAAGTCACTTAACCTGTACAGGATTTCAGTTTTCTCATCTGTAAAGTGAGGGAGATGGGCTTGTTGTCTGTAAAACCCTATCCAGCTATAAATCATTCATCTCCTGTTCATCCTTAATGCAATGCTCCCTCTGAGCTACCTACAGGTTCTATAGTATCCTGTGGGTCTCTAAAGGTCAGCTGGGTGGCGCAGTAAATAGAGCACCAGGCCTGGAATCAGGAAGACTCATCTTCATGAGTACAAATCTGGTCTCAGACACTTACTAGCTGTGTGACCCTGGGCAAGTCACTTAATCCTGTTTGCCTCAGTTTCCTCATATGTAAAATGAGCTGGAGAAGGAAAGGGCAAATTATTCCAGTATCTCTGCCATGAAGACCCCAAAAGGGGTCACAAAGAGTTAGACTTGACCGAAAATGACTAAACAACAAACATAGGTCTCTAAATTCCTAAAACTATAGTCCCCAGTAAATAGAGCACTGGCCCTGGTGTCAGGGGGACCTGAGTTCAAATCTGGTCTCAGACACTTGACACTTACTAGCTGTGTGACCCAGGGCAAGTCACTTAACCCTGATTGTCTCACACACACAAAAAAAAAAGGAAAAAAAGAAAGAAAACTATAGTCCCTCTCACTACTATGTTTCCCATTAACAGTCAGCCAGTAGATATAATTAGCTCAAAGCAACAGAATTTTCTAAGATGGCTGAGAAAAGAAGAAACAACCCAATCCTACCCCCCCCAAAAAAAAGCTGGAATGCACTCTCCCACAAATACGCGCACAGAAAAAGTAGTAAAAACTGGTAGTAGGGAAACACACGTAACTAATCTTCAGGGACTCAATGTCCTTTCTCTCCTTCTGGAGTGCTCTTAGCTTCAGTTTCAGCTGTCAGGTCTAGCTTTCCCTCAAATTCATGATTGGCTCTCTTCTTTGAGACCAGGGTCACAAGCATTAAAACTGCATCCTCACCCAAGTCACTACATCTCTGTGTCTGCCCTCATTTGCATCTTAAACTCTCTTGAACTGACCCTTGTACTGCTAGATAGAGCATCTCCTACTGGACAAGTAGGTCTACTGATAGACATCACTACGACCAATAAATAGGATGGAAAGGAAAGAAAATTCCCTACCTCCTCCCCCATAACTGCCCTTTAGTACAGGAACTTGGATCATATTCCACAAAACTGTTCCAAGCCTGGACTCATCTGAACTGACAAGTTCCAATATTTTAGGGGGTGATCAGTGGATGGTCAACTGTCACCCAGCTGGTGGCATTCTAATTTAATCAAAGAGAAAATTATTCAAATACTGGACATTACCCACAACATCACTGGATAAATTGGCTTTGAGATGGAATGGAGGGCTGGATTATGATACACCAGGACAAGCATCGCCTGAGATCTAAGTGGACAAGTGAACCGAGGAGCAGCTTCTAGCTCAATATACACCACAGTTGGGGATTAATCATGATGATGATGATGATGATGATGATGATGATGATGATGATGATGATGATGATGATGATGATGA